AATAAATAAATAAATAAATAAAGGAGAGGAGACATTTGTTATTTATTTATTTATTTATTTATTTATTTATTTATTTATTTATTTATTTATTTATTTATTTAATTTATTTATCTCTGTGTTTTTTATAATTATTTTTATCCCTTTCTTCTTCTGTCTTGCTGCATGTCTCCATTTGCTGCTCTTCTAGCAGCAGCAACAGCAGCAGCAGCAGCAGCAGCAGCAGTACTACCCGCAGCAATAGCAGCAGCAAACGTAGCAGCATCACCAGCAGCAGCAACAACAACAGCAGAAGCAGCAAAAATAGCAGCAGCAACAGCAGCAGCAGCAGCAGGTACCTTGTAGCTCTTGTAAGACTTCTGCTCTCTCCTCCATCTCTGCAGCAGCAGACAAAGGAGCAGCAACAGCCCTTCCTTGCTGCTGCGCTGCAGCAAGATGCAGCAGCAGAAGCTGCTGCAGCTCTTGCTGCAGCTGCTGCTGCTGCTGCACACTCAGCACATCTGCTGCTGCTGGCGAAGAGCTGAGGGCCCCCACACTGCTAAGGAGGGCCCCCAGCCGCGCTAGAGGGGGTCTTGCTGCACCAGGTGGATTTGCTGCTGCTGCTGTTGCTGTTGCTGCTGCTGTTGCTGCTGCTCCTGCTGGCAGCAGCGGCTGCGCTTGCATTGTCAAGAAAAATAAAACAAATAGAAGCAGCAAATATAAATAAAAAGCAGTACAAATACAGAGAAAGACAGAGGTAAAATAACAATAAAGACAGACAGAAATAAAAGCAAAGAATTAATAATCCTCCCCCTGCTGCTGCTGCTGCTGCTGCCTTTGCTTCTTTCTGCTGCTGCTGCTGCTGCTTCTTCTTCTTCTCTTTCTTTGAGTTTCTGCTCTTTATTTATTTTTTAATTCTGCAATTAAGCAAATAAACAAACAATAAGACGGTGCATGCACCTCCTCTCGCTGCCCTCTCCTGCTGACTTACGGGGCCCCCTGTACCCTCTTTAGGGGCCCCCCAAATTATATTAGGGGCCCCCTGAGTTATATTAGGGGCCCCCTGAGTTATGTAAGGGGCCCCCTGAGTTATATAATAGGGCCCCTTAGATAACTTTGTATGGGGGCTTCTTAGGTTTAATTAGGGGCCCCCTTAGTTATATTAGGGGCCCCTTGGGGGCCCTTAAGTACTATAGGGGGCCCCTGGGGCTCTATGAGGGCCCCTTTGTTTGTATGAAGAGCCCCCCTTAATTTCTATGGGGGCCCCTTTGGCTTTATAGGGGGCCCCAAAGGTCGTTTTGGGGCCCAATTCGGGTGTATAGACACCCCTTTAATTAATATAAAGGCCCCTTTGATTAATATAAGGGCTTTTAAGGTTGTATGAAGCGCTTCTTCAGGTGTATGGGGGCCCCTGGGCCCCCGGGGTGGCTGAAGGTATTGGGGGGCCCCCGTGCTGCAGCGCGAAGGAAATAAAGAGTTTTTAATAACCTTGGAGGGTTTATGAATATTAAAATGAGATTAAAAGAAGAAAAAAAGAGGAAAAAAGAGGAAGATATGAATGAGGGGCCCCCAGACCCCCAGGGTTTGCTGCAGCACGGGGGGCCCCCCTTAGGAGGCTGCAGCAGAAAGAAGAGAGGGAAGACGAGAGAAATTGAAGTAATTAAATAATAAAATAAATATATTTAATTGGATTAATAATATATTTATCTTCAAAACAAAACCTAAAAACAGCGAGCTGCCTATACACCCCAAGGGCAACAACCCGTCTGGGCCTCCCCATAAACACGTTGAGGATTTTAATGATAAAAAGAATATAAAGATGCAGTTAAAAATAATTAAAAATATATATTTTAATCTACTTTATAAATTTATATATATATTTACTATTATTTATTCAAGTTAATAATTATTTTGCTGCATCTTTCATACAAATAAACACAGAGCCCTAATTATACACCCTCTCTCTGGGTTGGTATTAGCAGTAATTTGTTTATTTGATAAAATCTGTTTAAATAAAAATAAAATAAAAATATAAACAATAAATATCATCAATTTAGATAAATACTTTACTTTATTTCTTATTTTTTTGTTCATTATAACAGGAAGAAGAGCCTTCAAGTGTATTTATTAATTGTATTTATTGTTTTATTTGTCTGTCTTTTGTTTGCATTTGTTTGTTTCTTTTCTCATCTCTGTATTTTCTTTCTTTTCATCTCCGTATTTTTATACCCCCCAACATAAACAAATAAACTAATAGCAGAATATAATAAAACAAACAAATAAACAAACAAGAAAAAAGAAATAAAAAAGAAGTATATATATATATATATATATATATATATATACAGGTTTATATATATAGAGATATATATATATATACTCTTAATAATGTCTCTGTCTCTTCTTTGCTGGTGTTGTTGTTTGCTTTATTTTATTACCTATTAAGTATTTGGTTCCAATAAATAATATATTTAAATAAATAATTAATTTAAATTAATTATTTATTCAAATTATTTATTTTATTTTTTATTTAAATATGCCGTCGCTCCCCTCGCATGCAAAACCACCAGGTGTATATACACCCCAAAATGAAAGAAGAAAACAAGCAGCAGAAAAGAGATAAGTTTATTTTTGTTACAAATAATAATTAAACAAATATAAAAATAAACATACATATTTATGTATGTGAATGTGTATACATAAGTATGTCTATAAATACATTACAAATATTTAATTAAAGATATATATATATATATATGCATATATATATATATATATATATATACTCGTCTTTATTTATTTATCTATATATTTATTTATTTATAGTACGTAGACAAATGTGCAGCAGCATTTGCTTGGATTTCTTCGAATGTGCACCGCCACGCGCAAACATATTACTCCTATCCAATCCACAGATATAAATATATATATATATATATATATATTACATATATATATATCTTATAAACGTACATATATACATAAACATATATACACATATATATATAAGCATATATATATAAGCATATAAATATATGCATATATATATATATATATATATATTACTTAGCGGAAAGGGGTCTACTCGGCAGTGTGTGAGAAGACAACGCAAACAAACTGCAGCTGCGCGTACACCTCAATGTACACCGCAAATAGAAAAGCAGCAGCCAAACAAAAACAGCAGCAGATAGCAGCAATAAACAGCAGCAGAACAAAGCCGCAGCAGCAACTCATTACACAACAGCAGCAAGAGAAGTGCAGCAGCAGCAAAAAACGCTATCGGCGCCTATACACCTGAACGTTCTACCTCTACACCTAAAATAAATAAATATATCTACATATATATACATATATATATACATATTTCTACTTCTGTGTATAATAACAACTGCTATCTATATAAATAGCTGCCTATACACCTGAGAAGCGTCTGGGGGCAATAGCAAGAAGTTGTTGCTGCTGTTTACGTAGATATAATAATTTAAGTGTAGCCACCAAACAAAGTTCTGCTGCAGCCTCAGCAACTGGCTGAGTTGCAGCAGCAGCGGCTGCAGCAGCAGGATTAGCAGTGCTGCTGCAGCAGCAACAGCAAGAAGAATAGCTGCTGTTGCTGCTGCATGATTAGCTGCTGCTTAGCATTTAAAGACGCACTCGAGTACGATTAGCAGCAGCAGCAAAGATAGCTGCTGCTGCATCGGCTGCTGCTGCTACAACTCCAGCAGCAAGTACATACATACATACATACATACATATATATAATACATAATATATACATATATATATATATAGGTGCGTATATTATAGAGTATAAGGAGGGGATGATTGATGAAGAGAGAAGGATATTCTTAAGACAGCTGTCCGCAGTCGACGATAACAACTTGCTGCTTCGGCTTCCCAGAAGCAGTCCCAACCTGTTCAATTGCTTTAACGACGTCTTGTCCTTCAGAGACGCATCCGAAGACGCAGTGCTTGCCGTCTAGCCAGTCGCAAACAACAGTAGTAATAAAGAATTGAGAGCCGTTTGTATTAGGCCCGGCGTTGGCCATAGAAAGAAGAAAAGGCTTATCATGCTTAAGTTTAAAGTTCTCATCGGCAAACTTCTCGCCGTATATACTCTCGCCTCCTGTACCGTTACCTCTTGTGAAGTCACCGCCTTGTAACATAAATTGAGGTATTATACGATGAAATGATGATCCTTTATAATGAAGAGGCTTTCCGCTTCGCCCTATACCCTTCTCTCCTGTGCATAGACACCTGAAATTCTCAGCTGTCTTTGGAGTTATATCTGCAAATAACTCCATCACTATTCTTCTTGCTGCACCACCACCGATTGATACATCAAAGAAAACTTTTGGGTTCGGCATTTTGTTTAAAAAGGTTGAAGAAGAATGTATAGATGAATATAATAAAGAGGTTTTATTATGTTGAGAAAAAGAAACAATATCTGGTAATGATGATGGTGTTGTTGCTGCTGCTGCTGCTGTTCTGCAGTGTATACTCTGAAAACCATATACACCTGCACCTCTCTTAATCGCCTGTCTGAAATATGATATACCCTTCTCACATCTCATGGAGGAGGAGAGATTCGTAGCACCCAAGCGGCACCCGGCAGCAGCAGACGCACCCACCGTGCTGCTGCTCTTCCTGCTGCTGATGCTGCTGCTGCTGCTCTTCCTGCTGCTGCTGCTGCTGCTGCTGCTAGACGAGAGGCGCGTAACGATAGCTCTAGAACCCGCTTCAAACCCCTCTTTCTCCTCTTCTTGTTGTTCTTTTTTTATCTTTTTATTAATAAATGCACTTAATTGTCCTCTGTACCTTTGATTTATATCTAAACAAGACCTGCCTATACACCGCAAACCTCCCCCAAGCACTTCAGCGCCACCGCTGCTAACAAGCGAAGCCTGCAGCGCCTGAGGGCTCCCACATCTTTTGCTGTGGGTTTCTAAGACCCCTATAAATAAAAATAAACAAAAAAACGTTAAAATGTTCATTTTAATGACATTTATTTCTCTAATTTATATATAACTGCTGCATAAATGCAGTGCTGCGCACCCTAAACCTGCCCCCCCTCCCCCCGCTGTATGCTTGGTAGAAACATCCCCGCTGCTGCTGCACTTCTGGGTTGCAGCAGCAGCAGTTTAATTACTAAAGCTTATTTAATTAAATATAATATTATTTTTTGAAAATTAATTAATACGTCTTTATATGCTGTATCTGCATACCATGGATACGCTGCACACCAGCGACACCGCAGGGAATGCTGATACCAACAACACACGCAGCAGCACCACCGTGTGTCTTTGATATTTTTATTTATTTCTCTTTCTCTCTTTGTGCTTCCGTTTGTGTCTCTGTCTGTCTTTATCTACCCCCCCTTCTCTCTCCCTTTCTGTCTGTACATCACTGCTCCTTCCCTGCGTCTCTGTGTCTCGGTGTGTGTGTGTTTCCGTGTCTCTGTATCTGTCTGTTTGATTTTTCTATGGTTTCTATTGCGGTAGTGTGGAGCCTCAGGTGCGCAGCATCTTTGCTTCTTTGTGTCTGTTGGTTTGCTGCTACGAGCAATCAGGAGACACCCGATAAGTTCTCCCTTTAGGCGTTGATACGAGTTTATTAAGTAGTTTGTTGTAGGAGATCCCCGCTGATGTATATATAAACACTCGTTACAATATTACCTGTCTATGTATCTGCACCCCAGTGTACTTAAACAAATACCTTCAAAGCAAATGTATCTGGGAAGGGGCTGGCTACCTTTTGAAGGTTAGCTGCTTATGTTACGTCTAAGGCTTTGTATATCTGAATAAACACATCTGAATGAAGCCATATAACCCAGCAGCAGCAATCACCCGCTCGTTAAGCTCGAGATAGGGGTGTGGCTTAGAGAAGTTGGGTGTTATTAGCAGCGCAGCAACGCTGCAATTGCGGCGAGAGGTAGCAGCGTACAGAGGGGGGATTGCTGATAGAAAAAGTGTATATGTAAATAAAGCTTCAGAAAGAAGAGTAGCTACATCCAGTACTCAGAAGCCTTCTGCATAGCAGTACAGAAGCCTGTGGGGCTCGTGCAGAGACGCAGCAGCAAATGCTGCAGCAACGCAACCAGGCATGCAACCATAGGCAAAACATGGTTTATAAGAGTGACACCGAACGGGGAGGTGAGTTATACCTCCTCGCTGTATCCTCAGCTATTAAATCTACTTCATATGCTGCCTCAAGTAAGTCTACCAGCACTTTACTTTCAAAATGAACATAGATAAGCGCAGAGTTGAGTCAAGGAGGTTCTGCAGGTGCTGCTGCCGCCTATTTTTGCTGCATCTCTGCTCCTCATGTTGATTAGTGCCCAGGGAATTTTGTCGATATCTCGTTGCTCGTTTCATTGACTAAAGTCTTCTCTTCTCCACTTGGCTAGGTTAGTTTTGTTGTACTTGCAATCTCGAGGTATTTCACAGTGTTGACTCTGCAGAAGAAGCAGTTGTGCTGCTCTGTGCTTCTTACAGTTCTTCTGGGTGCACCAACATCAGTCTGTTCTAGCTTATCATCTTTTTGTGAATGAGCCCGTCTTTATTGTCTATGGGTTATTTGCATTGTTATCTCCACACAAATTTCTTTCTTCTAAGACAGGCATAGCTGAAGGGGTGAGATGCTGTCTCTTCTTTTATGAGTAGGCTCTCCATAATATCGGCGAGCTGCACGCTTTCAACCCTAAACCCTAAACCCTAAACCCCCGAGGCATATTCACTTATTGATACTCTCTTTCCTGAAGGCTGCCCATATATATAAATCATTGTTATAAAATATTCGAGACCCTATTGGGGATGCTGTTTACGAAAAACTGTTATTTCTTAATGTAGCATTCTATCAGTGGCTTCTCTTGCTGATTTCTTCCTAATGTTACCATATTATGTTTCATCATCTACTCTTTTAAAAGTCTATATCACCTCCAAATGTTTCTGTAATCTAGATGTGCTCGGAAGAATCGATAGGTTTGTTTGCATATAATTATTATTGCCGTGTCTCCTAAGGAATACCTTTAGAAAGAGAAGCAAAGAAATCCTCTGCTGCTCCACTGTCATGACACCCCTCATATTTGAACGGCCAGCAAACGCCCGGACATTCTTTAAAAATTCATCCAGCAGCAACAACAGCCGTCTCGTCTGGGTGTACAGCGAAGGGTGGCTGCATTTTTCAGTACGACAAGGCGCCTACCCCTTTCTGCTTCCGTCTTCTTCTGTAGCTTCAGTCACACCTGCTTACATACGAATGCAAACGAGGAGAAGTGCTGCTTAAGAGAGAGGAAAGGCAGATGTAGCATGATGGTCTCTCTGAAGGCATCTCTACTTGAGTGCATGCAGGCTACCGCGATGAGGGCAGATCCCGATCCATCTTCATTATTTATTCAGGGGATATCTAAGAATATCTTTTTGCTTTTTCTTTCGGAAAGGCCTCTTCACAACTAATTAAAGGGGTGCGCTTCAACGCTCACCTGTGCGGGAGAGACGCGCAGCTCAGGTTTAACCCCCTAAACAACGTTGTGCTGCCAAGGGTAATGAGTATCTTTGATCTTCACTCAAAAGGACAGGCATTAGCTGCAACAGAGCCAG